TAGATATTTTTGCCAATAAAAATTATCTTTAAAAATCAAATTTTTCTTACAAAAGGGTAAATTTATACTTTGTCTTAAGCCACTGAAAGGGAGGTAAAGATTTTTTTAAGCATTGGCTGTTTGTCAATTTCTTTTAGCTCAAATAATCAATATGCCGAAATAGCATATTTTGCAGTGACATGTTCTAAACTCCTTCAGAAACATTATAATTACACTCTGATTGAAAAGGTAAAGAGAAAAATACTAAAAGCAGCAAAAGAAAAAAACATTATTTTCAAAGAATTGATAACAAATCAATTGCAGATTTTTCAACTGAAACTATGGAAGCAAGAAGACAATAGAATGACATCTTCAGAATGATGAAAAAAAGAGACTTTTATCTATGAATTCATACACAGTGAAAAATATCCTTCAAAAATAATGGTAAAATAAAGACATTTTAAGTCAAACAAAAGCTGAGCATATTAGTCCCTAGTAGGCCTGCACTACAAGAAATACTAAAAGGAGTTGTACTAGCTGAAATAAAAGGATCTCAGAAGCACAGAACTTCAGGAAGGAATGAAGACCACCAGAAATGGGACATATGCAATTCAATGTAGGAGGATATTGACTTTTAAGGGTTTATAGTGTTATAAATTAAGTAAAATATATGAAAACAGTAGCACAGAAGTCAGGAAGAGTCGAATGTAGTTAAATTTTTGCAAGGTTTTTGCATTGTTTGGGAAGTAATAAGAGTAATAAGGTTAACTTAAAGTTGTTAGAGTTGCACGGTAAAATCTCTAGAGTATCCAAATATTATAAAAATAGAAAAAGGGAAATGTAAGAAGCAAATAGAGGAGATATACTGATTTAAGTTTTAAATCTTTAGGAAAGGAAGAAAGAATACTAATCTACACAAATTATTCCAGAAAAGATAAGTGAGAGAATACTTTTCAGCCTATTTTATGAGGCCAGTAAATCCTGATACAAAAACTTGACAGGGACACTAGAAGAAAGAAATATTACATGCTAATCTCTCTCATGAACACAGACACAAAAATACTAAACAAAATATCATCAAATCAAATGCAATGATAATAAAAATATTATACCATGACCAAATGGGGTTTATTTGAGAAATGTAAGGTTGGTTTAATATTCAAAAGTCTATCAAGGTAATTTGCTATATTAATCAAATGAAAGAAAAAAAACAGTCATTTCAGTAGATGCAAAAAAAATGACAAAATTTAGCATCCATTTGTTATATGTTTCTTAGTAATCTAACAGAAGACAGAATCTTTTAAATATAAAGATTAGAAATATCTCCCCAAAGTATGCCACTTTGGCATAAGGCTTATTTTGAGCTAAAGACAACTGGGGAAAAGCAGATACAAGAAAAACTCTCTGTCCTTTCCCTATTTTCCTAAAAGCAGGGCATAAATATACATGCAAGTCTCCCCTCCCCTCTCAACCAAGAACACCAAAAGTAAATCACCAGATAGAAATGACTTTAGACCCTTATCAGACTGGAGACAGCAGCAGAACGTCTACATAACACACTTAACTAGCATTTATCTACCGTTAGTTTCCTGTATATTTGCCTTCCTACAATTTCCTAAATTGTAGGTGACTCGAAGTCCTTTTCTTTTGTCTTGTCACTTCTCTAAAAGTTTATTATTTTTTGTTGAAGATGTATAAGCTGGAGTTTGAAGCTATCTCTGTGAGAATTACTTATTTTCTGGGTATCCTCTAGGCATATGTAAGATATACATGTTAACAAACTTGTTTGGTTTACTCTTGTTAGTCTGTATTTTGTTTCAGAAGCCCCAGCCAAACATTTTAGAATGGTAGAAGGGAGCTTATTTTTCCTCCCCATACACCCATGGTTAGCATCATACTTATTAGTAAGAGTGCTTTCCCTCTGAAGTTACAACTAAGACATGCTGTTAATTATTACCATGTTTACAATTAACATCATACATAACAGTATGAAAATGCCCCATCCTCCAAATTAGAGAGTAAGACAATGATGTCCAGTGTCATCACTTTTATGAAAGGTCCTAGCTAGAGCAATAGGGCATAAAAAGTTTATGTAGATGTTAAACATTAGAAAAGAAAAAGTAAAATTGTCTTTAATTGCATATATTCTGTACCTTAAAAATATCAAAGAATATACAAGCTTTTTTTGTTGCTTTGTTTTTGAGATGGAGCCTTGCTCTGTTGCCAGGCTGGAGTGTAGTGGCACGATCTTGGCTCACTGCAACCTCCGCCTCCCAGGTTCAAGCGATTCTCCTGCCTCAGCCTCCTGAGTAGCTGGGACTACAGGCATGTGCCGCCACATCCAGCTAATTTTTGTATTTTTAGTAGAGACAGGGTTTCACCATGTTGGTCAGGATGGTCTCAATCTCTTGACCTTGTGATCTGCCTGCCTCAATCTCCCCAAAGTGCTGGGATTACAGGCGTGAGCCACTGTGCCTGGCCTATACAACCTATAAAAATTAATAAGTGAATTTAGCAATTAAAAGAATGTGGAATATAAGAACAATATATTGAAATAAGTTTTATTTTGATGTTGATATAAGGTTAATCTAAAATTAATTATATTTTTGAATACTAGCAATAAGATTAAAAATGAAGTTAAAGTGCTATTTACAATAAAATGAAAACATCAAAAATTTAAGCATAATACAACAAAACATAAGCAAGATCTATTCACTGAAAACTATAAAGTATTTCTGAGTGACATTAAAGAAGACCAAAATAAATAGATATAAAATGTAAAATTATTGGAGGACAGTATTGTTAAGGTGTTGATTCTCACCAAATTGATTTATAGATATAAGGCAATTCCAATCAAAATCCCACCAGGGATTGTGTGCATAATTTGACAAGTTGATTCTAAAATTCTTGTGGAAAAGCTAAGGACCTGAAAGAACCAAGACAATTTGGAAGAAGAAAAAAGGTGGGCAAATATGATCAGATTTCCAGACTTATAATAAAGGTAACTCAGACAGTGTAGTGTTGGTGTAAGGATAGGGACACAGATCAGTCTAGAAACAGATGGACATATAGATGGTCACTTGACTTATAACAAAGATGCTATTGCAAGCTAATTCATAAAGAATGGTGTTTTCCACAATGGTTTTGGAGCAACTGCTATCTTGAAATAAAAGTAAAATTTCAGCCTACCTTATCCCATGCACAAATAGAAAATAAACTAAAATGTAAAGGGTAAAACAAAGGCTTGTAGAAGGAAAGAAACATCAGATAATAGATGCCCAACTCTGAGACAAAGAAAGATTTGTTAAACAAAACACACAAAAGCAGTCATCTTTTAATCACAAAAGAAAAAAATTAATGTTGTGTTTCATTAAAATTAAGAGAATAAAAATATAAGCCCAAACAGGGAGAAGATATTAAAACTATTATATCCAACCAAGGATTTATACCTAAAACAGAGAGCGTGCCTACAGATCAGTAAGAAAAAGACAAAAAACCCAATAAATTGGTCGAAAGACTTGAAACTTTACAAAAGAATATCCAAATGGCCAATAAGCATAAGAAATTGCTCAACATTAGTAATCATCAAGAAATACAAATTAAAACTATATCAAAGTTTTAATTTCAATGTAATTTACACTACACACAACAATGGCTAAAATTAAAAGCACTGATAATGCCAAGTTATGGCAAAGAAATAGAACATCTGGAATTCTCAAACATTGCCGATGGGACTAGGACTGTAAATTGCCACAACCACTTTGGAAAACTGTTTGGTAGTACTGTATCTACTAAGGCAAAGTACTGTATCTGTTTTCTAAGGCAAAAACAGGCATTTATCTTGTGACCCAGCAACTCTATTCCTAGTCACATATTCAAAAGAAAAGAGTACTGGCCGGGCGCGGTGGCTCACGCCTGTAATCCCAGCACTTTGGGAGGCCGAGGCGGGCGGACCACAAGGTCAGGAGATCGAGACCATGGTGAAACACCGTCTCTACTAAAAAATAGAAAAAAAATAGCCGGGCGCAGTGGCGGGCGCCTGTAGTCCCAGCTACTCTGGAGGCTGAGGCAGGAGAATGGCGTGAACCTGGGAGGCGGAGCTTGCAGTGAGCCGGGATCGCGCCACTGCACTCCAGCCTGGGCGACAGAGCGAGACTCCGTCTCAAAAACAACAACAACAACAACAACAACAAAAAAAAAAACAAAAAAAAAAAAAAGAAGAAAAGAGTACATATGTCTATCAAATGTTCACAACAGGCTGTGCGCCGTGGCTCACACCTGAAATCCCACCACTTTGGAAGGCTGAGGTGGGTGGATCATCTGAGGTCAGGAGTTTGACATCAGCCTGGCCAACATGTCAAAACCCTGTCTCTACTAAAAATACAAAAATGATCCAGGCTTCTTGGCGCATGCCTGTAATCCCAGCTACTTGGGAGGCTGAGGCAGGAGAATTGTTTGAACGCGGGAGACAGAGGTTGCAGTGAGCCGAGATCATGCCACTGCACTCCAGCCTGGGCGACAGAGTGAGACTCCATCTCAAAAAAAAAAAAAAAAAAAAAAAAAAAAATGTTCATAGCAGCCTTATTCATCACAGCTAAAATCTGGAAGCAACTCAAATGTCCACTCATAGGAGAAGGGATAAATAAATTGTGTTATATTTAGGCAATAGAATTATTCAGCAATAAGAAAAAAATGACCTACTGATACATGTAATGATATGGATCCTAGAGCGGGCCAGGCATCTGCGGTGTTGTGCTGTCTGAGCCCGCGTCCGAATTTCCAGTGTCCTTTCCTTGCTCCTCACTTCCTCCTAGAAGAAACCCTATTCTCCTAAAGAGTCTTTCGGTGCTGAGCCTTGGCAGTTTAGTTTGCTGAACTCTCCAGTGGAGTTAGTGGGTGGTGGTTTGGGAGTAGGGAGAAAGAGGTGGAGCGCTTGTTTGAATGCACCAAGCCTCGCAGGCTTTCCTCCTCCCCGCGCTGGTCAGGTAGGTTCTTTTCAGTTCCTGATGAAGCAAACGAAAACAAAGCAGTTGAACAGCACCGAAGTGTATACTTTGGGGGCGCCGTGATCAGAGGATTCCCTTTCCCGGGAACTTGCGTCTAGTCCTCTGACGCATCCTAGTTCGGAGTGGGTGGAAGGGCATGTGGAGGCCACAGCGCCCCCTCGCCCTAGGCGGGGTGGAGACAGCGAGACGACGCCCATGATCAGCCGGTTACAAAACTCGAGGAATAAGAAGTTTAATATCTATTAGTCTGCAAATCCGGAGACCTTGCGGCCTCACTGTTCTTCCTTCCCTCTGAGCTATCTCCACACCCAGCCTTGGATCAGAGGGGATTTAGAAGCAGAGCTGTCCGCAGCGAATACTTTTAATGCCCAGGCCGGGAAGAAAGCGGGTTAGGATCTGATCCCGCTGAATAGAGGACCCAGGAGCCTCCCGCCCCGGGTGCTCTGTAGTGCGGGGGCGCGCTGCGCGCTGCGCGCTGCGCCTGGGCGGCTGGCGGCGGCGGCGTGGGGGCGGTGATGCAGGTGTGACACCGGCCGGCTACTGCCTCCGCCCGGATCGCCCAGCGCCGCGTTAGCCGGAGCTGCACGCGGGGCAACCGGGGTGGAAGCTGCTCTGCCTGCATCCGGAGGCGTCCGCCAGCGGATTTCCCACCCAGGTAGGGGACGGCGTTGCTCGCTGCGTTGCAACCGACCCAGCCGGGGCGCGGACCCCGCGTGCTCCAGGGCTCCCAGGCGCTTCTGCCTAGCCTGAAATATACACGCTCGCACCGCTGAGTACTGTTCATAGTAAATGGCACAAAAGACCGAAGAGTCTTGGGAAGCTGGCGCAGAAAAGCAAGGGCTTGCCTGCTGCCTGGAGCTGTGCGCTTCTCTGAAAGCGGCCTCCCCGAGGGCTGTTTTTAAACCCTGTTTGAACTATTAGCGCCATAAGTAGTTTTTCAACTTATAAATGTCAGGCTGCTGGCGTTTATAGCTCCGTTTCCATAAGCTTCCTAGCCACTGCTTTTAGTTTCAGTTACATTCTAGTAGATGGATTTTGTTATTGTTGTTCGTTTGTTCTTAAAGAACAGAATTCAAACGTGCTTACACCTGGTGGCTCTTGGGGTTTGTGAGTGTGTATTTCTGCATGTGCAGGGCGCCCTCCGTGGGCGTGGGGGCCATTTCTTAGGGACACAGAGAGGATTTGTTTATGGACGGGTTTTAGCGCAAGGGAAAGAACATGACTTGTTTTGCAGGGATGGGCTAGCAAATGCGTTTAGCCAGGGAGGAGCAAGGCACTGCTGTGTCTTCGGCAGACGGGCGGTAGAAATCTCTGCTGTCCAGGGTTCAGCAGGGCTGATGAAATACATTCCTTTATCCGGAAATTACAGATGCAAATTACTCCGTTTAAGGGTAACTTAACGTCAGTGTCTTGGGCTCTGATAAGAGCAGCCCCAGTGGGGTGGGGTGGGACGCTGGCGGATGCTTGCTCCTTTCTAGCCCTGGGGAGGTGAATGTGGGTGGCTTTGGGGCTCAGAGAGTGGCAGGTGAGGGGTGAGGAGGGTGCATGGGGGAGGATTGGGCACTGTAGTCGGCTCAGCGGTGGTTCTGGTCTATGTTGATCTCCTCAGTGTTTCTGCTTCCTGCCCTTTCCAGAAGAGGTGACTTGTTCTGCTTGTTCCAGTCAGTGCAGTAGGTACAGTCTCGTGCTGCGTCTTTCTTGAGTCAGCAAATACTTACTGAGCACTTAGTATTTGTCAGAGATGGGATTAGTCCTTGGGGATGCAGAGATGATGATAACAAAGTCCTGGCTCCCTGAAGTTCACACCTGGTAGGGGGAGAAGCACTTATAATCAGGAGGTGGATAAGTTCATGATGGTGTTGGAAAAGAGCAGTGAGAGCAGAGAGGAGGAGGAAATTGACAGTGGCAATGATTGGTATAAAAATGAAGCCCTCATGGATTAGGCATGACATGGATTTCAGCAGGGACTGGGTCGCTCTCTTGGTCCTTCGGTCTGGGAGTGACCCACATGACTCTACCACACCATTGCCATCACTGCCAGTGGGTGGGCAGAGCTTTACAAGTCTCGGCTGGGCTGGTATTTGCAGTACGTGACTAGAACCCAGTAGACACAGGCGGACACCCAGAGAGGAGCACATGCAATACAAGTCAGACTTTTATTTTTTTCCTTTTTTAATGAATGGCTTTCCTGAATTCCAGGACTATAAAGGTTTTGAAGCAGCACTTCACAAAGGTAGGGACTCTGGAAAATTCTGAGGGAGTTTCAGAGCAGATGAACTTCTGTCTGCTTCTCCCTGGATCCCTGACCTATCTGTTCTTGTACCAGCCCAGTTCGAAAGGAAAACTCTCCCTTGATTATCCCTAAATAGGTGGAATAACGGAAAGCTAAAGCTGTTACTACCAATTGTCTCTGGGAGATGAAAATCCAGTCTCAAGGATGTTTCTTCCTGGACCAAAACTGTGATGGGTGAAGAAAAATGATAGAATGAAAAGCTCTTGTATTGTGTAGTTGCCAGAGACGTGCATTACATGCACCTGCATCATCACTAAGGTGTTTGAAAAGCAGCTTGCACTGTAAGAAGCATGAGTATGGATGCTCAAACAGACCTAGGTGAGTGTCTTGGGCAAGTTACTTAGCCCCTCTTTGAGCATTAGTTTCCTGATCTGTAAAATGGAGACAGTAATAGGATTCTTATAATAGTTAAAGAAAAGATACTTTAAAATATTTGCTCATTGTTACCTTATCATCATATAGAACTTGCTTGGCACAAAGTAGGCGCTCAAGCAATGGCAGTTCATTCATTAAGTTCCTACTATGTATCAGTCACTGCTCTATATATGGAAAATACAGACAAAACAACCAAAAAAGCCCTCTCTCAAGGAACTTAAATTCATGAGTGTGTGTGTGTGTGTGTGTGTGTAAGATGATGGACAAATAAATAAATACAGAGTGTATCAGCTGATGAGACATTGTAATGGAGAAAAATAAAGCTGGCTAAGAGGACTGGGGAGTGCTGCTAGAGGGCAGGGTGGGGCTTGTTATTTACTTTTATGCGGCTTGGCCAGGGAAGGCTTTTTTGTAAATGACATTTGACCAGACATCTGGGGAAGTGAGGGAGGAAGCCAGGGATTCTGGTAAATGACACTTGACCAGACATCTGGGGAAGTGAGGGAGAAAACCAGGGGTTGTAGGCAGCACCTGCAAAACCCTGAGATAGAAGAGAGGTGTGTTCCCAAGAGACCCAGAAAGGAGGTCCCAGAAGCTGCTGTTGAGTCAGACACCAGGACAGCAGTAGGAGCTGAGGTCATAAGGGCAACACAGCAGGTCTTTGAGATATTGCCTCTTAGGGTTCCTATTTGTCACTGTGATGTATGTGCTGAGTTATTGTTTAAGGAATTGGATGAAATCCTAAACTCTGTGTTTAGAAGAAGGTTGGTTGGTAGACATAAGTACCTGTGGTCATTCAGAGCATAAATGAATGCAGCAAGCAGAAAGCATAGGTCTTTGCAAGGCAACAGGAAGCACAGGAATTAAGGAGACTGTGCAATGCAGCATTCAGGTTTCTCGCATCCGGATGGACGACCATGTTTGTGCTTCTTTTGAATCTTAGTATTAAGATTTTTTGTTTCTTTTCCCCTACACTAAAAGAAAAGGTCATCTTTAGCAAACAGGCCAGCAGTCCTTGCCAGATATTCTTTTTACTTTGAGCATGAGAAGAGTGTCTATGATCATGGAAAAGTGTTGGGATCATCTGGAAATATGCTGACCTTCAGTGTACCATGGAATGCATTTACATAATATCATATGGCAAATGTATTTAAAGCCTCTGTCTTATGGGCTTAACATAAAGATCAGTTTGCTGCTCTGCCCTTTGGAAACTTTATTACTCTAGAGAAAACATGGTTTGGGGATTTGAGAGCCTCATCACTCAGCTGTCCTTGGTGCAGAAGGGCGACTGCAGTGTGTTCCATGGCCAGAAATGGGGCTGGATGCCTGAGAACCTAGTCAAAGTTTCTGTGAAATAGAATGAGGTGAGGCTGGGTCAAGGTCAGAGAGTCTGACTGGGTATCCCCAAGTCCACCTCAGAAGGCAACATTTACTTCTGTGAATTTCCCCCATCCAATATCCGGCTTTTAGTATTGCTGCCTCAGAAACCTGATCTGTCTTTCCGGGTCACATCACAGTGACCTTGTTCATCTGCATGCCAGCATATTGATTTGCAGTGGTTGAGACACTGTATGGCTTGGTTAGTGGGTCTTCTTCCTACAGATCCCTGTCATAACAGCCAAATCACAAGGAGAAGGTCTCCTAAAGCACATTATTCAGAGCAGAGCAGCTTAGATGCCTGCCCTAGGAACTGATTACATGCTTTAGGGCCAATCTTGCCAAAGGGACTACAGACCAAACCACCCCTAAACTTCGTGGCCTAAAACAACAGCCATTTGTTATTTTCTCTCATGTCTCTTGGTTGGCTGGGTAGTTCCGCTGATCTGAGTTGTGCTTGCTTGCTTTCAGCTGTGCTTGCTCATGTGGTTTTAGTCTGCCGATGGAGTGTCTGAGGGCTGGCTGCTTTAGGATGGCCTCAGCTGGATGACTTGGCTCTGCTCCATGTGGTCACTCATCCTCCAGCAGGCCAGCTCAGCATGTTCACATGGTAGTGGCAGGAGGCCAAGAGAAAGTGAAAACTTGTATGGCCTCTTGAGGCCTAAGCTTATAACTAGCACTCCATCCCTTTATCCTTGACAAAATTAAGACACGAGATAGCCCAGAGTGGAAAGTTAGGAAAATAGACTCTACTTCTTGATAGAAGGAGCTACATAGTCACATTGCAAAATGCATAGATACAGGGAGGGGAAGAATTGGGACATTTTTGCAATCAATCAATCAATCAATCAATCAGTCTACCATAGGGACCTGAATATTTATTTATTTATTTTTGAGATGGAGTTTCACTCTTGTTGCCCAGACTGGAGTGCAGTGGTGTGATCTCGGCTCACTGCAACCTCTGCCTCCAGGATTCAAGTGATTCTCCTGCCTCAGCCTCCTGAGTAGCTGGGACAACAGGCCTGCTCCACCATGCCTGGCTAATTTTGTATTTTTAGTAGAGATGGGGTTTCTCCATGTTGGTCAGGCTGGTCTCAAACTCCTAACCTCAGGTGATCCACCCACCTCGGCCTCCCAAAGTGCTGGGATTACAGGCGTGAGCCACCGCGCCTGACCGGGACCTGAACATTTAAAGTGCTCTTGGCTAGGTTTCCTTTTCTTCTGGACTCTGCTTGATTGGGCAGAGTCTGTACTTGCTCTTTGGACTGTGTCTTTTTCTGTATTTCTGTGGTTGACCATGTAGGGATGTATGTACGTTTCGATAATCATTCATTCACTAAATAAATATTTATTGAGTGGTCTCTATGTGCCAGGCATGTTATAGGAAGCAGACCCATCTCATGAAGCATTCATTCTAGTTGAGGGAGACAAATAATATGTAAGTAAATAACGTATGTTTTGGCCGGGCGCGGTGGCTCAAGCCTGTAATCCCAGCACTTCGGGAGGCCGAGACGGGCGGATCACGAGGTCAGGAGATCGAGACCATCCTGGCTAACCCGGTGAAACCCCGTCTCTACTAAAAACACAAAAAACTAGCCGGGTGAGGTGGC